GTTACGACTTTTCGACGTGCTAGCGACGCCCATTGCGAACCCAGTCTCGTCAAAGTTATAGATATCCTGGTCTAGCACGCCGTACGTCTGGCGCGTCTCCTCTACCAACTTAAACCACGCTACGATTGTAGCAGGATCTTCGTACTAGGCGCGCTGGCTGTTAAGCCTTCTACTCCACTTCGTCTGAAGCTCTAGCTGGCTCTGGATAAAGCGCGACACCCATTTCTTGCCTACAGGTTGTGGAGGTGGATCTTGGCCACGCGCGGCGAGTAACGCGTCTGCCATCCGTCGTACGTCGATAATATGGGGTGGAAAACCACGACGGTCAAGGTCTAGGATCCACTGCACAAGGGACTGCTCTTCAATGGACGATAGCTTACGGTTAACAGACCGTAGCTCTAGTCGTGGCTGAGTACTATGAACGCGAGTATGTAGTGTTGATTGTGGCACATCATATGCTTTTGCAAGAGCACAGATAGATTGTTTTGGATTGTCACGATAAGACGCGATAGCAAGGCTTATTCTGCCTTCACGAGAAGTATGTATAGAACGTTGTTGTCGCGGCATGGTGGTGGTTGTGTAGAGCGTCGCGTCAAGTTTGGTGGGGTGCCCAGCTTACTGATCTGCCCAGCTTACTGGCCCTGCACGTTATTTCAGGTAACTAAACTACGTACGTAATTAGTTCTTTGTTCTTTTCTTTCTTTCTTTCGCGCTACTGAGCTTTTTTTTTGTAATCCTTACTCACTTACATACATACATACATACATATATACATACAAAAGTTAGTTTCTTGTCTTTTCTTCTTCTTCTTCTTCTTCTTCTTCTTCTTCTTCATCCTCCTCCTTTCTTATGCACAACATAAATAAAATGGCAAAATGGGGCTGCGGAGTTTTTCATCTGATCGGGAAAAACGCTGCATTGCGGGACTGCGGCCTGCGGACTGCGGACTTGGACTGCGGACTGCGGACTAAGCGTGCGGGGCGCAAGGTGTACTTGGGTAACATGACAAGGCCAAAAAGGGTTGTAAAGAAAGAAAAAAACAAACGGCAGAAAAGGCAAGGAAGAAAAAAAGGTTTCGCGGTGGAGATGATGCGGTGTTTTGGGGGGGAGGAAAGGGCGTTGTGTGGGTGGGGAGTTGGTTGGTTGGTTGGTTGGTTGGTTGGGAGATGGAAGTGTAGTGGAAATGGAAATGATAATATATACTTTTTCTTTCTTTCTTTCTTTCTTTCTTTCTTTCTTTCTTCTACTTTGTCCTCCTATTCTTGGTATAATGTTGATGCTGTGCTGTGCTATAGGTGTAAGAAGAACGAATGTAAAAAAAGCGTACGTGCGAGGCTTTTGTATGTGCGAGGTTTTATGTATGTATGTATGTATGTATGTATGTATGTATGTATGTTATGTGTGTCTATGTGCGTCTAAAAAGCGGGTATACGTATTGCGTGTGGAGTCAAGTGGTGTGAAATGGAACTTTGAATTTGGTATTTGGATATACGTAAATAAAAGATTGGTTCTCTCTCTCTCTCTCTCTCTCCACTCCTCCCTCTACCCACCCGCCCACCAGTCTCTACAACACAGCTTCACACTCCGTCGTTGAATTCATACAGCTTATCCCACCGCTTTGATAGTTAGTTAGCAAGTAGCCATGAAGTAATTAGGGATGCCTCTAGCTCATAATTTACATACCTTATCCCACGGCTTACTTCCATCGACAAAGCGCAAGTCAGTGCCCACGCGAATGACGTTGTTAGGATCGTAATTGATAGTCGATGCGTGGATCTTTTGTGTGCGGTCCGCCCCGTCAGTTGTATCATTTCATTGCCGGGGAGTTGAAGTTTGGGGAGGAGACAGAAGACTTACTGCAAAGGGATTGTGCAGCACCACGTCGCCGGCTTCGTAGCTGGTTACCAGCCATCTGCGGCCAAAGGTTTGGGCGTACTCTCTTGGGCCGTCGGCCAGCAGCCCTGTGGATAGCATGTTCTGGTTGAAGGCGTTGCGTGTTTCCTCGTCGCTCAGCCCGCTTTCGGCGGCTTTGCGAGTGAAGTCTTGTTCGACCTCGCGGCCGAGTGTGTGGCCTGGCAGGTTCGTTAGTGGTGAGATGGATACGAATGTCATGCGTTGCCTACGTACCGTTTTCCAGGTAGATGAGGCCGCCGCCAGTTAGACTGATGTCGCCCATGGGGACCCAAGCAGTGACAGAAGTGGGCTCGCCGTGGCGTAGGAAGATCTGGTCGTAGTGCACGCCAATGGCCTTGTTGCCGGGCGTGTTGTTGCGCAAGAGGCTCCTGCGCACGGCGACGGTGTTGTCGGCCCAGCCCGTGATGCGGGCGACAAAGTCCTTGAGCAGCGGGTGCTTGCAAAACGTCTCTTTGTACCAGTCTGCATAGTGGGCTTGCAGGACGAGGTCGACAAACGTCGAGGCCGTGGTGCCGCCGGGCTTCCCGTTGTTGGGCGACGCTCCCGCGCCAATGCCAGGGAAGTCGGCGGCGTCTCTGGCGGCGTCGAAGATGCCATCGACGGGCGCTGTGTTGGGCTTCAGCACGCCGCTGGGAGCGAGCATCTCAAAGTAGGCTTGGCGGGCGGCGAGGACGTCTTGTCGCGGCAGCAGGCCCTTGAGGAAGAGGTAGCCGTCTTGGTGATAGCGGCGGCGTAGCTCGTCCATGGGCAGGCCAGGGGAAGATTCGTGTAATCGGCCCACCTGGCTTGGATGCAGCAGGCCGTCATTGACGTAGAGCTGGTGGCCGTCGAGCGTCGGTTCATCTGATGGTGGTGATAGGGCGTGAGGCATGGTGGTGGCGGAGGCGGCTATCTCAGCGGGTTCTTTTTCTTCCTCCTATCAATGCTATCTCAGCGTGTTCTTTTTCTTCCTCCTATCAATATTCTTCTTCTTCTTCGTCGTCGTCGTCGCCGTCGTCCTGGATGGCAAGGGCCCGGTGCTGTCGCGAGGCATGACGAGGAGCCCATGTTGGTTCCCCGCAGCGGCGTTTCCGCATGGGGCAAGGCGCGGCTTGGGAGGGTGAATGGGCACGGGGTACGGGGAAACTTGCCTTGTTAGGGCGCGGGCTGTTTTGCAGGGCGCGGGCTGTTTTGCGGGGCGCTGGCGGCGCAATTATCCGGGTTTTCACACGCAGACGGATGCCGCGACGCTGCAACGCTTCAATTGTTACTAAACCGCGGGACATGGTTGGATCCTACTCTGCTTCTTTCGGCGCGTCCTTCTCCTCGTGGAGGCTGTCCACGTCCGCCCCTTGACACGGTCCCGCCGCCCACGCACTTAGATACGTACTCGCACACGCGCCCACCGTGTGGCCGGTCGCCCAATGCCATGGTACGATGCCCTTGGACTGCCCTTGTCCGCCGCAGATGTGAACACGGCTTGACTGTATGCAGCAATCGATGCCGCTCGCGTCACTATCGATGTAAGCCTGGGGTGCCGAGAGCCGCCCTACCCAAGTCTCCCCAAGTCTCCCCAAGTCTCCCCCAGGCCTGCCAGACTGACCACTCTGCCCAGGCGATGGCAAGCAGCCCCAGTGCAGCCGCTGCGAGCATGCAAAGAAAGAATGCGTCTACGAAAGCGGCAGGCGTTTCCGCAGGTCCTCCATCTCGGATTCCTTCAGCGCCCAACAGCCCTGGGTCGCATATCCTCCTCGAAGTAGGGCCTGCGCCATGGACCTCTGGCCTTCTCCTCTTGCTAACCGTTGCGCCGCAGTCCAGTTCCTCGATGAATCGCCCGAGATCCGCTCTCACTATGTCCAGGATGGCTACTCACCTTTCAGCAGTCCGTCTATCCGGTACCATTCGCCTCCGCCTGCCTCGGCTAGCGGTCACAGCAACGCCTTGACCCCAAACTCGACCATCTTCACCCCGACAGAGGGCTTGACCGTCTTGTCGTTGCTGAATTCAGAGTCGCCTGTCCATCAGCAGGCCTCGGTGCCCCCGGTTACTCATGACCAACTGTCCAGCACGAGCGCGTACGAGCACCACGACGATGCAAATGCTAACAACACGTTTGTCTACCAACAGCCCGCTGGCGAGCCTATCCTGTGGCCGCTGGAACACGAGCAGGAGGCCATGCTGCTCCAGCATTACATTGAGAATGTCGCCTTATTCGTGAGTCTTTGACTGGTAAACAAAGTGCCTTGCTTACCGTTGCTAGTTTGACATGGTCGATACGAGAGATCATTTCGGAGTGCATATTGTCCAGATGGCCAAGCAGAACAGTACTCTAATGTGAGAAACTACATGACGAGCATCTTCTGGGTCGAGACTGACAATACTGAATCTAGGAATGCTATCCTTGCCCTCTCGGCGCGGCAGCTCAGCCGCATTGCAGACTTTGACCCGTATGTCGCAGATGCATACTACCAGAAATGCTTTGACACTTTGATCCCTGCATTGAATGACAACTCAACAATCAAAGAGGAGCCCTTGCTCGCAGCAACCATCATACTCCGGCTTTTGGAGGAGATGAACATTTCGGTCGTTGGTAGCGACCCCCAAGGCCATCTCTTTGGTACCCAAGCCATTATCCGCGCTGCTGAACAGTCATATGCTGCTACGTCCGGCCCAGATTGGCGTCAGGCCATCTATTGGGCAGCCTTCCGCCAGGAGATGTGGATTTCACTAATGACGCAAAAAGCCTTCAAGCTGCACATCTTCCCTGCGGATCGCTCACTCGACCCCGCCACCGACTCAATGTGGGCTACGCGGACGATTGCGCATCTCGGCGATGTGTGCAACTTTGTCTTTGGCGAAGAGAGAAATAGCGTTGTTCGCTACAACCAGCTAATGGAGGAGAACAGATCTTGGACGCAGCGTAGGCCCGACAGCTTCGATCCGTACTTTTTCCGTCATTCGAACCCTTCTAGCGGAAACAACTTTCCAGACATTCGCCTGCATCGAAAGGAGCATGTCATGGGCATGCAATACAATCTCTTGGCCCACACGCTACTAATTGTACACGACCCGACATTACCGCAGCTTGGGCCCGCACACAAGGCTTCACGTGCTGTTGTGGACAAGGCAGTACAGGAAAATGTAAGAATACTTTGCGGTGTTGCTCAGTCGAATCCCAAAGTGTTTCCTTGCAAGTTTGTCGCATGCTATGCGATTGCACTCGGTATGTTGTTATTCATTATCCCGCTTCCTACTCTCGTTTGCCGAAATAGTATCTGATATGTAGCAGTCGGCGATCGGTTCACCATACGAGAGGAGCAGCAGAGTCTCCGTGATCTATGGTACAGATGTGAACAGCTACATGCCTTTCCCCCTACTACCATGATTGCTCAGCTTGAAGAATCGTGGGGATGGCACAAACACTGAATTTGCCTTGAAAGTTGGGCAACGCAAATCAGACTCGTATCTTGCGCCCGTCGAAGATCTCCTGATTCTGTCCTTGTTAAGATCGTCCATCATAGAAGGGTCTATGTCGCGTGCATCATGACTAGAACATTGAGCGAAGATTGATGCACGAGCTTTCGTGTTGCCAGAGCGCGCCACTTAGAGTTGAGTAGCCATGTCTGTCAAGCTGATCTATGCTTTTGTTGCACCCGAATCTGGAGCATACACGCTAGAACTCTTGGCTACAGCGCAGACAGCCGTGTGGGTTAGCTGTCCAATGTTGCGCAACAGGTCATTAGATACGAGATTAGATCTCACCGATCGAATATTTCTAGCGGAAACCTGTCCTTGGGTAACTTCAACGCCATTGCTTCACTGGCTTGGTCCAGCTGCTGCAGAATCTGGTACGAGGTCGGCCGCTGAACAGGATCCTTTACCAAGCATAGCCTGATTATCGAATTTAAAGTGCGCGAGTATCCAGGTCCTGCCGGACGCGCTTCATCCCATGTCTCACCTTTGTTACTCTTTATACTCCATGGCTGCCAGATACCCATACACACACACAGGATGCTGATTCCCAGTTGCCAGACATCGGATGCGCCGCTGAAGTACGGGTGCTCTGGGGCCTCGTACCCCTCCGTCCACACGCGCTGTCGTTTAGCATAGTCCTCGATTTCGCACTGTGCCACGTAATCCTCGGATATGGCGCAGCCAAAATCAGCCAGCTTGGCTACTATCTGGCCCCCCTCTGTCGTCAGCAGAATATTCCCCGGTTTAATATCCCGATGATAAACCCGGCTCCAGCCCGACTGGAAAACCTCGTCATCGCTCATGTCCGGCTGCGGCCCAAAATGGCAATATGCCAGCGCGCCGCAGATTTGGAAGAACCAATTCCAGACTTTCCACTCGTGCACGCGGTACCCTTTTGTCGCTATCTCCAATACAACCTTGTCGAGGCTGCCCAAGTCGCAGTATTCCAGGTACACTGCTGCTTTTGCGGCCGCTTCGTTCAGGAAATGGTCGACCATGGTGACAATGTTGATGTGGTCGCTGATTTGGTGCAGCAGCTGGATCTCGCGGTACGCGACCTTGTACTGGAATTCCTGGGCTGCAAACCGCTTCTCGATGAAGATCATGCCTTGGGCTTTGGGGTTGCTGCAGCGCACTTGGGCGATGCCTGCGTTGAGGCCGCCGTTGAGCGTGCCGAGGTGCTTGATTGGTGTCCATTTTTGCTGCGGCCTGGATTGGTATTTTATCGCGAGTTTTTTGCAGTACTCTACAACCATTTTTTTAAGCGTGCTTGGTACGAAAGGAGCAGTGCGGAGCCAGTGGCGGTTGTTGCTCGTGAGATTTGTTATGTACGTGGTACATGGAAGAAAATACTTCATCGTGAGCAGATATGCACGCTGCATTCACACACCTGCTAGCTAGTATGCAGCATTCTGATTACCACCTATCGATTTTCGGAATAACTATGAATTCTACAGACGTCACGTGAATCCTACACATGAATACATGCCCCCCGTTCACCGGGCCGTTTGTGATGCGCAGAGCAGATGCAATGCTGGATCCTGCACGGAACGTTCCGAGCCTTCAGAATGCAACCTAAGCATAAGCAACCACCCTACGTACCGTACGTTTATAAGCGACACGTCCCGTCTATCAAGGTGTGCATCTGACCTGCTGCATATTGCTACGGTAATTAATCAACACACACACACACATCCCAAATTAGCACCTTTCCCCCATGCCCCCCACCCTATTCCCGGCGTCTACTCACCAAGCCACTGTAACGAGCATCTCAATTTCTATTTTCAAACCGCGGCGTAGCATTCCCTTCGAGTCTTGCATCAGACATGCATACATACATGCATAGATACGTGCATAGCCAGCCAGCCTCAGGCGGCCACATTTACTTGCCGGCTATGAAGCTGCTCTCCGGCAAGCCACACGTATACCACGGTATGTGGGCACCGTTTCTCGTAGCTGCATAGGGTTACGTTGGACATGCCTGTCTGCGATGATCATATGGAGGGGTTGGCTGCATGCTTAGTTACCTGCCTACTTTGTTAGTCGGCTGCATGGTCGATTGGCTGGTTGGACGCGCAGTTTGGTAAAGTTGGGTGGACGGCCAGGGCGGGAGCGGATGCGTTGCTGTGTTGGGTGGGAAGTGATCACATGCATTGGTATGAACCCAAGTACGAGAGAGAGAGGTGCAGAACCAGCATGACTTGATCTACGAGTATCTACGGTACCGCTGCTTGGAACTACACCTATGGTGTTGCGGCAAATATCGATTCGGGTACCGTAGTCGTATGCGGTTTACTTTATTCTCCCCGGTACTTACTAAAGTATTCCTGCGCCAGGTGAGGTGGGCAGCGAGAACGTGATGCTTTGTTTCACAACGTTGGACCCGATGAGCGTTTTAGGCCCCGCTATTTCAGCGCATGTGATGGGATCATTTGTTTAGGGCTTGTAAGGACATGGTTTGTCTTGATTTTTTTTCGGTTGGTTGGTTGGTTGGTTGATTGGTGCAGCGATATGGATATGCGTGATAGTCGCGGGTTCTTGAGGCGCTGGTACAGAAGCGCGACAGTCATGCATAGATAGTATGTAGTACATAGTAAGTATTAGCATTGCGATATGTCTTCCTCACCGGAACCCCCAACCAAGGCCTTAACTTGGACTCGAAATAAGAGACATGGTATATCTCATATCTTGAATGACGTGGGAAAAATAAAAACCAAGATACTGAAAACAAAAAAAAACAATATCTAATTATATTATCATTTTGCCCTGCCTCGTTCCAGCAACAAGGTCCCCGGTAAAGTACCTCACCCACCAACCAACCAACCAAGTCTCCCCAACTGATTCCATCTCCACTCCGCTCCAACTCCGCTCCCCCCCTCCCAAGGCCTCCCCCAAGGCGGATTTTGCTCTCCACCGCCTCAGAACAGCACCGCTCATGTCTGCCTATGCCGATGCCCATGCATGCCATCCATGCTTCTACTTACAACTGCATATCTCATGCTCATACCTGAAACAGCCTTATCTACACATGCATACATGCATACATACTTGCACACCACCGCGCCAGCTGCATGCCGCTAAAATAAACAACGTTTTTTTTCTCCTCACAAGCTATGTACTGGGGACCTAACATATGCAAGTATTCTGGGATGCCGCATAAGCGCTACGTAGCTAGCACCGTCGCGAAGCTGCGTGTTGGAACAAGGCGCAGAACCCGCTTTGGGAGGGGATGCAAGAATACTTGAGGGGAGGAGGGAAGTTTCTTTGTTTGCTGCGCGGGGCAGTGAGGAGGTTGTGATGTTTGAGGGGGGGGGCTGAGTATAGCAAGAAACTTTTGTGCTTGGTGGACTGGGTTTGCATTTTGAAATGCTCTTGTTGTGTTGGCAAGGGTGAGGAGGGCGAGGGGGTTGCTGAGGGGTTATGGGGCTGTGTAACTTGCACCGAGTAGCTAGGCCTTCGTCTATATGTGGCTGTAGCGTGGGAAATGGGGGTGTTTGTGTTTTTGTGTCTAGGCCATGCGAAGCCGGATAGAGGCATCGAGTGTGGTTCTGGTGTTCCAGAGTTGTAAGTAAGCCTGGATTTTCGACCTGTTCCATGGTCAAGAGCTTATGGTGTTACGAAATTTTCCTCCGCGTGAAGACAAGTCGTACAAGGCTTGTCCCTGTGAAACTATCGCTAAGTTTATTGGAATCGCGCAGGGATATTCAATCTTTAAATACACGTCGAAAATGATCACATTGGAGAGCTAGAATCTGAACGAGTGCTTTGGTGAATATGGAATCGCTGATGCCGGGGTATTCCGTCCTACTATTCGTCACACTGGGCTTCTCTCTTCATCTCTTCATCTCTGTATGCCTCTCCATCGCGCCTCTAACTCTCGTGCTCTCGCTGAAGCCTCCTTTCTTTTCTGCTCAGCCATTTCTGCTTGGCTTTGTTGATAATCGGGTAATTCGTCTTCTGGCCCCCGCGTGTCGTTGAGGCCCAGCAGTTCCAGCTCTGCTGTGATGGAATCCATGCGTGTAGGTGGCTGCGGCTGCCATTGGGGGGAATACGATTCCAAAGGCGAAATGGGTATAATTGGCGAAACATCAAAAACAGGTGCGACCTGCGATGAAATGAATGGCGGTGGTTCAAAATTCTGCCAGTCATCTCTCAGTTCCCGCTGGAGCTGTAGAGAAGGCGGCGTGCTCGGTGAGCTATGTGCATGTTGGACGGGTAGAGGAATGCTGTCGTTGCCATTTCGCCGAGCGAAAAGCGAGCCTTGAAGCTGTGGTGGTCCGGTAGGAGACAAAGCCTCAAAATCGCTGGGCAGGCCCGTCATGGCCTCTGCAAAGAGATGGAATTGTGACATGTCTGTAAAGGGTTCTGTTGGCGAAAGACAGGTGGTATGCGGGCGGGGCCTGCTCGATGCATTCTCGCGCGTCGGGCTCAAGGGCGAGTCAGGCAAGGTGCGAGATCGAGGTGGCGTCGTTTCGCGCTGCGGATTTGCGGAAACAGAGTGTGTATTTTGGGTGCGTGATGCCTGGTTTTCCGGCGGTATCGAATATGGCTGATATTGTGTGGCATCACAATCCAAGTAGTCTGAAGCCGACGAATGCGCTCGAGGAACGTGTGCGGCATCGTCTGGGTGGGACTGGCTAAAAATATAGGGTGAACTGGGCATGCTATGCGAGTAGCCATGGCGATGGTGGCTACCGGTATCCACGCTCAGGTTTGCAGAACGCCGCTCTCGTGATTGGTATGGCTCGGGCTGAAGGTGTGTTGAGTCGGGTCGGCGAGAAGGCTCGCGCCGGAGAAGGTCGCGCCATGCGGTTGATTTGCGAGACTTTTTTTCCGAGCTCGACGGTGATGGTGGTAGTGGTTTGTTGAGATGTGAGCTAGAGACTGCTGGTTTTCTCGAAGGTGCGGCTGTATGGGTAGAGCGTGTGCTAATGCAATGCGACGTGGCTTGGTATGCCGATAGGCCGATTGTGCTGTCTCGGTCGTGGTGTTGTCGTGCAGAAGCGGGCCTGTTGAACCACAGTTCATTGTCAGTCTGCGAATGACTGCGTCGATGGCTCTGGTGTGCCATGTATCCCACACGTTCGGTTTGGAGTGAGCTGGTATCGAGATGCAGCAGGAACAGATCAGACGGCGCCCCTGACTTGAGCGCGGACGGCAAGTTGTCAAGCTTATAGTTGGAAACTGTCGTCGGGATCGTCGGCAGCTGGGTGTCGGGTGGCATCCTACAGGAAGCTAAAGCCAATTCAGATATTTCCAGGGCAAGAGGTGTGCGTGTGCAGGCTGCGACCAAGGAAATCGAGTTGAAATGGTGGTTGGATGCAGAGAATGGCGCAGCGCTACTGCAAGACTGTAGTATTCGGGCGAATTTAGACGTCGCTGATAGCCGGCTTGCAGTCTGACAGGTCCAATCCTTCTATACTTCCAGAACACCGGGTACAGTATCACCAGACGGAATGGCCGCGCAGTATATGGCCGAGGCGGCTAGTGTGGCGTAGCCAAGGGTGGCAACGCATGTACGGTACAGGGGCAGGGTGGAAGATGGGTTGAAAAGTTTGCCGTTGGGGAGAAGGGGCATTCTTACACCGGGGCCCCAGAGTCGTCTGGCAAATGCATAGCAACACGCGTCCAGCCAGATGGCCACCGAAATGAGTCGCTATAATAAGGCAAAGGCCTGTGTCGACGCAAAGGGATGGGCGTCTGAACAATGCGTAGCTGAGCCCATTCCAAACGATTTGGCGGCGGCTTGCAGGCCTAATCGTCCAGGCCAAGCCAGCCTGACATGAGGCTTGCCATCGTCAACACGGATACGGCGCACAAGCAGACGTTCGAATGTCCCGTTCATGGGTGACGATGCTACGGTTAGCGACGAGCAAGCGGTGAGGCTCAAGACGGCCCATCGGCACTCGACCACGGTGCAGCCAGCTGCCTGGCTCGGCTCTCAGCAGGTACAGGGCGACAGCAGACTGGTGGTGGGCGAGGGCGTCAGCGGGCCACGATGCTACTCTAGGCATGCAACAAAGTCGTGCGGCTGGTCATCGTGGCAACCATCCACAACGAGATGAAAGACGCGGCGCGTGCACTGCCCCCCTGCTAATTTTAGACGGGGCTGCGCTAGGCCGCGTTGGGCTAGCTAGCCGAGCCTTTCACCCCCCCTATCCCTGTCCGGGGCCCAGCTGCGGGCATCCCTCTGAGACGTCCAGGCTTGATGCTGGCGTCTGGCCGCACGCCAATGCCAATCCATCTACATCGTTTACTTGGATGCTCGCGGCCGTCTTGAGCAGTGGCTTGGCTGCTGATGCCATCTCCATGCGGCGTGCGCCATCACCTCCATTACCAGCTGTCCATAACCATGAATCAGCTGTGCGCTCTGTCAAGCTTTCGGTCCAATGCAGAGCAGAGGCACGTCAGATTCTGCTCCATTGGTCTATTCTATTGGCCATAGAGTCAGCGGGAAGGCTATTTTGTGGATGCTGACCACTTCCACTTCGGTAAACGAGCGTCTAGCCGCGGACTTGGGCGTGACGCTCACCAGCGCAACGCAATACTCCACTGCCCTCCCTCCCTCCCGCCTTGGTATCACAGCCTCATGGGAACCCATCGCGTAGGAAGCGGGGCTTGGGGGGGTAAGTACTGGGGACTGCCCTCTGCAATCCTGGCCGATCCCTCTCATGGTGTCCGCCACTACCCAGCTACCCCGCAACTACACCGTGTATGCAAGGACGTTAACATCGCCGAAGCCTTATAGGGAAATTTTGCGAGCCTATCACTTCACGCCTGGGCCTGATTCGCTTTATCGAGCCTTTTTGAGGGACTTGTCAAGCTCGCTTGCAATCACCTCACCATAACTTGATCGTGCGTCAGCTGAAAATGCGGAGGCAGAATGTCGTTCATCTCATGAATTAGACAAATACGAAGAGCCATGTAGGTTCTAATTTCGTGCAATTTCCGCTGTTGATGATCTCTGGTGTGGTATACGACCATCGGAGAACGACCATAATCGCCGTCACGTGGCCCCCACGATCCATGCTTGAGCTGACGCAACAGCTGTATAATCAGGCGCTATAACATTGAGCCTGCTCAGCCTGAACCGCTATAAGGCCCCCAAAGACGACTACCACTAATTATCTGAGACTCTTCAGCCCACGCGAAATAGTACCAATGTACGTCATCAAGGAGTGTTAATTTAGTCAAAACCGTTTATGCATGCGTCAGGTACAGCCGTCTGTCATCATGGATGATGTTCAGCCATATTAACCAGGACTTCAATAATGCCAGGCCCCCATGAATGCCAGCATCCCAGAGCATGCATCACCCGGAGCGATGTAAAAAAAAAGGAGTGCTCACATCATTCTGTAGTATCGATGACTAAACACTACGTATATACTTTCTGTTATTCTCGTAGTCGTATATCGCGGTGGAGCCAGGTGCATACTCGGCGATACTTACACGAATAGTGCGTCGTATGCACGGGTGCTAACTCCTTGACAAGTTTACTAAGTATATACCTATCGATCGCGTAGATAAACCGTCGGGTCATCCACCCTCGATTGAAATGCCCCACCCCCAGCAAATCACTCTCTATCTTGCATCGTCGAACGGCTTTCGATTGTATTTCCCCAGTTAAACTGCTATTCATAGCTACCGGGTCCCAAGTTTTGATGTTCCGACTTGCGTAACAAGCCTAATGTCTTCCGAATACGTAGCTTCCTGTAGAACCACATTGGGGGGGGGATTTTTTTTACCGAGGTACTGTAGTGCAGTATAACCCTGTTTCTCGGTTGTTACCTGCACGCGAGGACCGACTTTGAACAGTCATGTCATGTATGACATGACAAAAATGGACACTCCGACAATTTGCATTGCCATTTGGGAAACCTCCGAATCGTTATCCCACCTGTACCGCTGACCTGGTTGCCGGAGAAAGGAAAAAAAAACGTTTCAAACCAAAAATCACGTGTGAGCCAGCGAGATAGGCCGAGGATATTACGCGCAGTGGCGACATGGCATCACGCATTTAGAGACATGGCACGTGACCGCGTGAAGAAAGGCGCTCTGACAAAAGGTATTTGAATTAAGAAAAAAAAATGGTCCGATGGGCCTCGGAGACCCGCCGTGACACTTGTCTTGCTCTTGCATTCCATTTCCCCCCCCCTCCTTCCCCGCATCAACAACGTCTTTGATTTACAGGAACGAGAGCCTTCACACATGGGCCTTTCCACGACACAAACAACGCTCAACCCCACAGCCTCATATATGAAAAAAAAAAAGAAGATTTCTCTCTAACCTTACACTTTGCTGCCTCAGAAAACCAAACAACGATTACATCCCAGCACAACAGAACAACACAGCACGAGATATAACAAAGCCACCACCATCAAGAACAAGCATCACACTTATCACACACACATGAGCTCGGCTTTCCCCGGCGGCCGCTGGCGCTACCCATACTACTACACGCTGCAAGACCCCAACAACGGCGGCGGCTTCTTCCCAGACCGCATGTACTCGCACATGCCCGGCGCCCTGCGCGGCGAAACACGGTATAACCACGTGCTTGGCTTCGGCTCGCGAGACTGGAGCTACACCGACCAAGGGCGCTATGGCCGGTTTGAGCCCTACGACACCAGGGGCCCCGAGCGACTGAGGCGCGGTTGGTGGGAGTACTAGAGTGATTTTTCTTTTTCTTCTTCTTCTGTCGAAGGACATGGCGAAAAAAATGGAAAAGGTATGGAATGGGGAGAGGGGAGGTATCTGACAAAGGGTGGGGAGTTATTTGATGCTTGATCTTTTGATTATTAGGCATTTTATGGGGGGCTGCAGGGTAATGGCATGGCATGGCATGGCAAGGCATGGCGTTGGATTTGGTCACCTTGTACGGAGTTACTATCTGTTATTTTTTTTTAATTACTTATGCCAATTAGGAAATGCATGCTGTATGAATGATACCCATGTCCTGTTCTGCTACTTGTACATGCTTGCTCTGTCAATTTGGGGTCTGAGCGCATTATGAATATTTTGTCTCCATGTGCCTGTCCCATGCATCACTCTTTCTTAGCGAAGGAGAAGATCTGTCGGAACTGGTCATAGGGAACTGGTTTTGCGTCTGGTTGCGCATTCCACTCGGCATACTTCCTGATCATCTTTGCCTCGTCACTGTTGATTTTGTCCGTAGGAATGGGTATCTCCATGACGCCGTTGCCTGTAGTTACGCGTGCAAACAGTTCCACATAACCGGGAGGATGTGGTCGTCCCGCCCCATCCGTCATTCTGGTCGAAACGTCTAAAGTACTCTGGCCTATTTTAGTTAGCTATGAAATCTTGTAGCTGAGACTTGAGCTATTCACAGATGAGCCACTATCACGAGACTTACTTTTACTGCTCTCTACAGGATCATGGGATGTACCCTTCTGCGCCATGTTTGTAGGTAATGAAGATAGGGGCTGAGAAGACGATTTGTTTGAACCTGATTTGGGACGAGAAGCTGCAGGTTTAGTTTTGGCTTGAACTTCCTCTGGAACATCCTGAGCAGAGGCTCTTTTTAAGGGAAGATTGTTTGTAGAAACAGCTGACAAACGCCCGGTGGGCTTTTTGGTCCTGCGTGCAGGTGTAGAAGTGTCCTCGTGGTTGTCATTTGCGTCTTCTTCCAAATCCTTCATTGGTATGTCGTTTGTTGGGGGTTTGTCATGCTCCTCAGTAACAATGCTGGATACTGCTTGCTTCTTGGGCGACTTGGAACCTTTCCTCGGCAAATCCTCTGTTGGCTCAGCAGATTTTGCATTCTCCCAACTCGCTGCAGCAGAACGTCGAGCACTTCGACGCGTGATCATCTGAGGAGATAAATCTAGGGCAGTCTCTGTATTTCCTGGTAACGGAGTTTCGTTTTGGGCAGGATTGTGGCTTTCACGTTCTGGTTTTCGTGGACGGCCCACTATACCGCCATACTTACCCCGTTTGCGCTCTCCTTCCTGGACAGCTGGCTCACTCTTTCTCTTCATAACTCTACGCGAATTGGGAGGTAGTCTGTCCAAGTTTGAAGGGACCGCATCCGCTTCAGCCGCGAGAAGGTACGCAGGGGTAGGTTCGGTCAAGGAGGCTACTGGATTTTCGGTCTCGCCCCCGGCAGCAAGGGATGGGGAGGCATCAGAAACTGTGAGCATCCCAGTGGAATCGTTGGCTGGAGGAAATTTTAGCCAAAACTCTTTTTGTAAGGTCTCGCTTACGCACGGTGCTTTTCGCCTGTCTCTCGGTCAGGGGGCGGTGTTGAAGGTATTTGGACCTCAACGACGACATTCTCGTCGTCTACTAGCATATCCTCAGCTTTTTCAGAGGACGCTTCCGGCGTAGGTGGCTCTTCTAGTACGGTGTAAGTACAAGGCTTATTAATCCCACATGAGTATCACTGATAGTCGGTTTGATTGTAGCAGCGTAGAACAACAGATATAGCTGTGCAGTAGTACCGCAATTATGAATAAAGACTTACTTTGTTCAACCACTTTTGGACTGTGTTTGCGAGCTTTGACTTTCTGTTTCTTAACCTTCTTGGGTCCTGACGAAACGTCGTCTTTGGGCAGGTACCGGCCATTTGGACCACGAACCTTACCCCCACCGGCATCTCTAATAGGCTCCGCTTTGAAGTCATGCTTGGTGAAATTAGATTCACTTGTCATGCTAGTATCCAGCAGCCGTGATTCAGAGCTTTCCGAGGCATTTTGCATGCCTCCTTCTTCCGTCTCTGCGGCTACTGCGATTGAGGATGCAACGGGCTGCGGCTGTCCAGGTTCAGACATCGCTCGTCCGTCAGACTTGATAATATCTACAACTTCTTGTTAGTTCAAAAGCCGATGATTAGAGCATGGGTTGAGGAACATTGTCAATAGTGGCTTTGGAAATAATAGGAAGCGGGACGAGCGAGGTGAGTGGGGTTTCATATAACGGACAGACTTACCTATATGCTTTGAGAGCTCGTGTACCGGACTTGCTGAGCGAACCAAGTTCGCTCTAGAGTCTCGCTGCGGGGTAATTGAGGCCGGGAGGTTGGTTGTAAGAGAAACTGAAGCCTGTTGCGCTGGATGAAGGTACTCTTGTTTGTATGGTTGATAGTGGCTTGGCTTCGTAGTGCCAAATGGTACCTGGAGCTGCGGGGTCGGAGAAGCTGTAAACTTACGTTTAGCTAATACGTACAGTGTCCGAGTATTCGTAACTTACTGCTGGGTATGTCGAAACTGTCAGACACTGACGGTGTTTGCAGTTTTTCGGATGCATTTGGAGGCTTGTGCGCGCTGTCAATTGGATACAATACCCCAGGGGCGGCTTCACCGCGTGCATTGTTCCGAACAGTTGCTGTCGACATCTGCTTGAAGTTTCTGTCAAAGAATGGCCATTTATCCTGAGCTTTGTTGGTGAGGGATCGCACTCGACGGTAAGCCCTATCTAACTGAGCGAAGCCTTGGGAGGTGCGAATAGTTGCCGTAGATTGGTCTTTCTTGACGTCGTACAGGTAGTTTTCCTGGATCCATGTAGCCAGCTCAATGTCGTCCTGGGCTTCACTCTCCCGAAGGTACCCGTGAATATCTGTCAAGGTCGCAACGTCAACGTGGCCAAAAACTTCTTCAGGAAGTAGCGTAGTCGGCGCGCCATGATCCGCGGGGTTGTAAGGAATACTTGGGTTAGGAGCCATAATCGCGCAGGCTGGTCTAAATCGCAGTGCTTGAGTTGCCACTCAAGGAAGTTTTGCTTAAAGGAAGTGTCTAGCAGCTCGCTGTATATATTGGTAATGGGCCGTACTAGTATCAGACAGGTCTTGCTCAACGAAGTCGTGAATGTGGTCGGGTTTTGCTATTGTGGCGTAACCAGAAGGCGTCGGCGGTGAGGATTTTTGACCGGACTGTGGCCGAAGTGGAACAGCACTTGAAGCGCCTGCGAAGCACAAATTGTTGGGGGTTGTAGGTGAATGAAGCAATTCGATCAGGGGACGAACAAGATAGCCTTTTGTGATATGTTTGCAAGCTGAATTGCCCGGTGAGTCGGGCGAGAAGTGGGGAGAGCGGTGGTGGCCGGGGTGTTAGCCCGTGCTCGTTCCAGAAATTCCGTAGCTTTCTAGGACAACTCAGTACAGCCTCGACGTCATCATGTGACAACGCACTTGGTGCTCAAGACTTGTTAATATCAGGCGGACAGGTGGATTTTGTGCTGTTTGGGCGTTTGGAAACTCTATCCGGGCATACATTTACAGTATACTCATGATACTGCATTCCATCTGAGGTATGGAGCCTTGAGTTGCCCAGATGCATTCCGCGGGTGACTCCTTGTGTGCGCCGGTTGAGCAACGATATAATCAGGGAATCTTCGCATGAATAGAGGGAACAATAGGTAATCCGAAAGCGTTTTGTCTGCAGCTCGTGCGAAAGCAGCACCCAGCCAATAGTCTCGCGCTACACGATTCCTAAGCGTGCGTCATGTACATGCATTGTATCCGAGGATTTGCGCCGATAGTGTATAATAAAATTAATCAAACGATTAAATTGTGTTGAAAAAGCAATTTTGACTGACCCTGAGGCGGCGTTGGCCTTACCCAACCAACAGTTTGGATCAGGCTCTTCAGACACCCGTGTTTTTCAACCATATTTGCGGTTAGGTAAAATAGGAGCCCGATTGTAGCTACCAAACGAATGTAGGGTCTGTGTGTATCTATCTTCATGGGTTTCCTCGCATCTTCATGTAGAAAACGGTCAAAAGTCCCCAGCTCATGCCAACCACGAAAGTCAGACGACTGGTCATTGCAACGACGTTTCCGATACTAGCAAAATGTCAATAGACCAGGCTACAACTTGTCCTGCGCATGATTCCTACTACTCGACAGACAGCTGACCAAGGTCCGCTGCCCTGATACGGGGTTTTATCAAAATGAACTGGAGACGCCTGTCAGTGGACAAATGTATTCAAGAACGGTTGCCGGCATCGAAAGATAACAACCCATCTTCATTTACGAGAAATACTCAGGCGAATCTATGAATTATGGTATTTCACAGTCAAATGAGGGGTCCTGGTAATTATCCTACAAATGCGAGTACAACATACTGTCTAAAAGTATCTGAAACTCCAACCAATACAGGTTGACCCTATGTCCTTTCTACGGTCATGTGAATTTTGTTCTGAAGTTCATCTTTCCATGCTCTTAACTACTGTATTTTGACCTTTTTGGCTTTGCTGTATTCTGGGGGGTCTCCGTGCCGCTTTCTAGACGCCGTATCACTCGAGCAAAGCGAGCCTTGAATTATTGTATTTTTCTGTTCGCATGTAAGAATTGTCCGCTGGGGCTTACAACATATTGGTCTGCTCTCTGAGCTGTGTTGATAGCACGACGGACAATATCGGAACCTCTGCGATGTGCGCGCCGGTATCGACACGTTGTCTTTTTGTAGCTGCTTAGTAGTTACGCATTTCCAGAGAATCTTCGAAGCCCGCCGGCGAATGTGCGACAGCTTTGGAGATCTTGACACGGGATTTGGTTTCATGGCTTGCCATTGCCATTGTAGATTGAGATAAACCAAGTCCTTCCTGACTTCTGGATGGTCACTTACAACCACCCAGGCGCCGAGCTTGTTTGAAGATTGGATTTTAAAATGGGCGATAGGGGCAGCGATTGCCGTCGGTCCTTGCTTGTTTACAAGATCCCATGTTTCTTCGCGGAACCACTGCGCAATGTAAGACATGGAGACGTCGGAATATTCCTTGCCTCCCGCGATCTCAGCCAACTTTGCATCCCCCCATGCTTTGCGCATCAAGAGATGTGTCCCAGACACTGTTTTATCCTGTGGGTTAATCACACAACCAAACATGAAGTGCTCCCAGCCATACCCCCATTCCGTCTCAGGGCAATCGGCTCGAATATGTGGCTCGTTCAGATTGCCTCGTCGTAACACACCAACGGCATGGACAATCTCATGTACGAGCGTAGTGGCGAAGAGAAAATCGTGCCGAAATTGTGCGCAACGAGATGCCGCAGCATACTCACCACTCTTATAGTAGTTTTGAAAATGGTCCGACAACTCAATCGTACAAGAGTGCTTGCGCTGGAACGCGGGGCAGCAGGTTGAATTATGAGTAGGTCTTTCGTCATCGAGCAGCGTGCGAGCATACACCCGCTTTGCAGGTGGCCGGAAATAAAATGAGAGGCTGTGGCTGAGACAGTTCAGAGCATCGCGCACGCTAGATAAGTATCGTTGATGCTTTTCTGCCGACGCATTGGCTACAGGGTCAGAAAGATACGTCTTGCATTTTCCGCCCACAACGCCTGTCAGTTCGCGGCCGTATAGCAGCGGAACGAAGAAAGTAAGGAGCGTGTCGTGAAAAAGAAAATGTGATGCGAGCTGCAGCATCTGCTTCATGGGTCCGTCGCAGCCCAGCCTAGAGAAAACAGGGTGGACAGGATTATCCAAGTTTCCTGGAAGAACCCGGTCATTTTCCAGGAGTTGAAAACGGTCGTTCTTATTACATGCTGCGATGAGTCCATTGATGCCAGCACTAGGTTCTGGGGCCATGCGCTTCTGTCGTGGTATTGAAGTCATATTTACTGCTGGATATTGGATTGAGATTTGCATGTCTGAACCTGAAAAAAATGCCCCTTGGTATAGGTAACAAAGACAAGGCCATTGTTTTTGATGGCAACACAACGAGACAAAGCTCTAAGACTGAGCAGCGACATGAATGATGCTAGGAAAGACATGATGGAAGCGAACACAAAGTCGAAATGCTACATTGTGCGGACTTGAGGAAATATCTAAGAAATTACTGAGCTATTGGGAAAGTAGCTCAGACGTTGTAAGGTATGTGCACAATGCCTGCAGGCAGTTCAGCTGGTATCGCGGAGTTTGCTTCTTTGATTGTAAATGTTGCCGAGTTTGATTGAGCAAGTTTGCTGTACAATCAACGGAGCCTGTCTGGCAGTACTTTGAGCTATCTCAACTGGTTTTATCTCACTTCGTAGAGCCCGTGTGACTACTCATAAGGTTTTAGCTTATTTGACGACGGTGAGGAGGGTAGGGTACATGCTCCCTAATCTCTAGTATATGAACATGACGTTGCGTGATGGAGGCACTTGCTTGGATCTGTGGTTGCAAGAAGTATGGCAATTTTCTATGCCAAAATGGAACGTGGCATCACGAGGTGAAAGACGAAGAGTCCACCATCACCATCACCATCACGTGCTAGCGTGTGCTTAGCGCGCCTTCACTGCCCCGCAGCCTGCACCCCGCAGCTTGCTGTCCGGCGTGTGTAACAGACACTAGCCGAAAAAGCTCACCTTCACTGTGTTTACGGCAGCCACTAGAGGCGGCCATGGCTTTCGAAAGATCGCCCCCTCGCTCTCCATACCCCACCACCACAACCTCCTTCCCACCACACGCGTTAACGTTCAGAAATACTGATGACCACATCTGCTTAGCCTTTTAGTCGCAATGGACTGGGACAATCTGGAGCGGCAGGTGAGAGCTTTGCTTCCTGAGCAACCGCTGAAGGAGAACCGATGCTGGATCGGCATACTCAGTCACAAATGGTCCGTTCCAGACAAGCTCAGAGAATCCGACATCGGTTGGTTCGTTGGTAATCGGGTAAGTGAAAGACACGAATCCAAGAAAGAATACGAGTGCACAACACGTGTTAGGACTAAATTACTCTTTGTCACACTCACTAATGCCGTTCTAGACGAGCACAAGTCAGAAAATATTGGAAAGGTATCGAAAGCTTCATGGCCTTCAGGACATCCAGCTCTCCTTCAAGAATGCACTTGTCGGCAATGATGATCTTCTTGAGCATTTCCTCAAGCCAAATGACGATCTCATAGTGTTCATGGCTATAAATCCTGTGCAGGCCAGCGCACGGGTTGCGACATCTCCACTACCTGTTAGGGCACGGTCTCATACGCCAGGCAGCGAAGCGCAAGTTCGGGATAATGGCACAGCTCCTGCTACTGATACACGTGATAGCAGCAAAATCCATCCTGCTATGCCTTGCGTCTCCACTTCGTCCCCAGACAAGAGCAACCAAGAAGTCCTTGATATCCTTCATCGAAACATTCGGCACATCATCAAACTACAAAATCCCGATGTTCTTGAGGCTGGTGTAGCCCAAGCAGTACAAATTCTGAACAGCATCAAACGATGCATTTCCGATCAAGAAGTTACAAACGGAGAAGCAGCAGCTTGTTTGGAGAATATTGAACAAATCATTCCACAAGCTGAGCGAAAACGCATCGTCATTGGTGTAATAGGTAACACCGGTGCTGGCAAGAGCAGTGTTATCAATGCACTGCTTGAAGAAGAGCGTATCGTCCCAACAAACTGTATGAGAGCATGTACAGCGGTGGTCACCGAAATTTCATGGAATGATTGCACGGATGCATCATCTAAGTATCGCGCGGAAATCGAGTTCATCAGCGCTACTGATTGGGAGCGAGAGCTTACTACCCTCATGCAAGAATTCTTGTGTGAGAACGGCACCCTCTCACGAGACGCTCAGGATCCAAACTCCGATGCCGGAGTTGCATGGGCAAAGTTTCATGCGGTGTATCCACATGTAGCAAAGAATGCGTTGCATCAATGGGACATACCTACTCTCATGTCCATAAGGCCTGTAGCCAATGTTCTCGGGACTACAAAGACAATCTGCACAGCTCGATCAGGAAAGCTCTATGAGAAACTTGAAGAGTATGTCGACAGTAAAGAAAAGGTACCCTTGAAGGGCAAGGGAGGAGGCAAAAAAGGGTCACATCAGATGGAGTTCTGGCCCTTGGTCAAAGATGTCAAGATCTACACGAGGAGCTCAGCACTCTCAACTGGAGCTGTGATTGTAGATCTTCCGGGTATTCAGGATAGCAATGCCGCCAGAGCTGCCGTTGCAGAGAGCTACATTAAGCAATGCACGGGCTTGTGGATTGTCGCTCCGATCAATCGCGCTGTAGACGACAAAAACGCCAAAACTCTTCTTGGTGACTCATTTAAGCGCCAACTGAAGTATGACGGTGGTATTGCGAATGTCACGTTCATTTGCTCGAAAACAGATGACATTTCTGTCACAGAAGCGATCCACAGTCTTGGATTGGAGGAAGAGGCCGCAAATTTTGAACAGCAATACGATGCTTGCAATCAGAAACTCAAAGAAGTTAAAGACAAGATTCTGGACTTGAGAGAGTCACGGAAGGTTTACAAACTCGCCTACACGAATGCAAGTCAAGACATCGACACTTGGGAAGAACTTCAGGAGCAGTTCGACAAAGGAAGGCAGCCATATGCACCTCTCATTAAGACCAAAAAGCGCAAGGTCGACCTGAAGCAGCAACCACGGAAGAGCCTCCGCATCATTGAAGACGATTCTGACGACGACCTTTTCGACTGCAAAACTGAGAGATCAGAAAGTGAAAGTGAATTCCAATCCAAGGCCGAGCGAGTCAGATTGTCTGACTCGGATATCAAAGCTCGGCTCAAAGAGCTGAAAACGGTCAAAAAGAATGCCAGGGATGAAGTAATCAGGTCTGAAGAGGCTATTTTCGAGTTGAATAACCAGTTTGACAAATTGAAGGCTGAAGGAGACATGATGAGGGTGAAAGTGTGCCGTATGTGCATTGCAGAACGCAATGTCTATTCCAAGACTGCCATTCAGCAACATTTCGCCGCCGGCATCAAAGAGATGGATCAGCAGGACGCTGAACAGGATGAGGACAATTTCGACCCCGAAAAAGAGATTCGAGATTACGACCAGGTTGCTCAGTCCTTGCCTGTCTTCTGTGTCAGTAGCAGAGCGTACCAAAAGATTTGTGGACATATGAGAAAAGACGATCGCGTATCCGGCTTCACGAACGCAGACGATACGGGAATCCCACAGCTTCAGGCCCATTGCAGAAAGATCACAGAACCGGGGCGCATACAGACGAGTCGCAACTTTCTTCACGCTTTCTGTCAATTGTTGAACTCGTTCAAGTTGCTAACATCAGACAATAAAACTGGAGTGAAGGCGACCAGCCTTAGCAAAGAACAACGATCCAAACTTCTAGAACTAATGCTGGAGGGTCTGACAGCTGATACGATAGAGGCAGTCCATGCCTGCATCAAGGAAATTCGGTCAGAGCTGAAGCTTCATATTTTCGACAAATGTCCAAAACTCATTGCTGATGCTATCGAAGCGGCACCCGGTACAGCTTGCGCTTGGGGCCAGAAGGGTCCAGGTGGCCTTGTATGGTCCTCATACAAAGCCGTGATTTCTCGTTATGGTGTTTTCGAATCCTCTGCCGCAGGAAAGCGAGACTTCAACTCGGATCTCGTTGGTCCCATCATGAAGCGGCTTCCCACAGCCTGGGAGCGCACCTTCCAGATAAGTATCCCAAAGGCATTCGCCGGGTACATTCAGTCTTACAGTAAACTTCTTTGGGGACTCTATGAAGACACCACACAGTGTGTCGATGATATTGGCATTGTACCAGCGAATCTGTTCCTTTTGAAGAAACAAGTCGGCACCAACGAACAACTCTTACAAGGCTTTCACGCTTCTCTTATCAGTCAGATGAACGAGTTTCAGCGCGATGCTAGTCGCACACTCACACCTAGTATTGCGGAAGCCATGCATTCTGTGTACGTCGAATGCGCTGCTGAACGTGGTCAGGGAGCGTTTAAGCGAATGAAGGGTCGTATGGAGGCGGGAGTTGACAAGCTACGGCACACCATGTTTCACGGCGCGATGCAGAAACTCGAAAACGACCTTGATTACATGTGCAAAAAACTACAGAAGTCGATGAACGCCAAATCCAAAGACATCTCTGCAAGGTTGAAGGCCGATTACATGCATGCGCTTGGTGGGAAAGACGATGAACAGCCCACGGCCTCACAGCCCAAGAAAGAAGCCAATTTCAGAATGGTGATGCGTGACATCCTGGAAGGGGTAGATGCGCAGTTTGAGTCCATCGCCAATGGAGACATCAGCTTGTTCAAGGCAGCCGCACAGGCTGATATACACGACGAAGAGCTAGGTCACGAAGATGAGGAAAAGCATAGCAGCGCTTACGACTCGGCGCAAGGATCTGTCGACGAAGAGGCTAATGACAACAGCGATAAAGATGATACTGGATCCACTTCACGCAACCAGGCGTACGTCGAGGAGGGTACAGACAATGACGAGTAGGTCGGTATGCCCACACCAGCAGGCGGTGCTCAGATGAGCGAGAGAGCATGATTCTCTGAATACTCTACGGCGAAGACCATCATACGAGTTCACAACGATGCACGATACCCTCGGTCTTGTTTCACTTATTGCTTGTCTTCTATTCCATGAAATGTTTAGCTGCTCATACATCTTACGACTCGATTCGCAGAACTGGCTCACCTCAGGGAGCATTGCTTCGCAGACGCTGGATATGCTGGTCTTCTTCGACTAGATTATGTGGGAGGATATGCTGATCTTCTTGACTACATCATGTGGGGGCATATGCGGAAGCTCTTTGCGAGTTCGACCAGTTTGTGCAGGATGATGTGTGCATGTTTCTTATTCAGCTCTGTCCAATGTACAGTAAACGATAATGCAGTTTTCTACCAGAATAGCACAAAACATGAGTGGCGCGCGACGTGATGCGATGTACTGCAGAAGCATGGCAAACTCGCCTGCTCTTTTCGCCCAAGACAAGTGCGCTCCAGAGCGAACAAATGCCAACAAACCAAGACCACAAACGCCATATGACGCCACATGTCGTATCCATGCATCTAATCATCCCACTCCTCGTCTAGGTTGTCTATCAGCCTGTCCTCGTCCTCGTTTCGCCGTCCCCTCCGCGCATTGTCCTGGCCCAGCGATACGCGGCTGTAGCCCCGGCGGGAGGGCATGAAGCGGGCGCAGGAAGAGGTGAGGATGACGAACATGTCCTTTGTAACGTCAGCACTCCAAGGCGCTTGAGGACTTCTACATCAGACGGCGATGCCACCGCGCCTCCGGAAACATCTGAACAGACTCACCGTAAAGAAGCGCCAGATGCCTGCCCACATGGCATAGTTGGGCAGCTGGCGCCATCCGCGCTGGTGCATGACGGTGCGCTGGTAGACACATCCACCCGCAAAATAGACCAGCACCGCAATCGTCACCATTACGCCGAAGACTCCCCCGGGACTCAGCGCCTGGGCCTCCTGGTGCACGCCGCCGCACGCAAAAGGTGAGCGGCCTTCGAAAAAGTACGCGCATTCGTCCACCGCGGCGACGAAGGATATGGATGTTTTGGCCAGCGGATCCGAGTCGCAGAGCAGCGAGATGACGGTCGTCTTGCGGCGCTCGGGTTCCTTCTTTTTCTTGTCCTTGTCCTTGTCTCCCTTGCCCTTGTCGTCGTCATCGCCGTCGATGATCTCGCGGGTGTCGAGCGAGACGGGGGCGAGCGCGCGCTTGGACTTTGAGGACGAGGAGGGGCAAAGCGACCCGCCCGTGTAGTTGAGAATGAGTTTGCGACCACGGAAAATGGGCTCTGAGCTCTCGAGGCTGTTTGGCGTGAATTGTCAGCATTGCGCGTCGAGATGTGCTTTTGCCTGCGGGCGCATATCACATGGCAGATGCCCTTGATAGCCCCTCCGTCCTTGTCCACAGGAAACAGACTCAAGACTTACCCAATGGCCCATTGCTTGCTGCCCTTCTCGTAAAATGCGCTGACATTCTTCCACAGCGCCTTGTCGAGGTCCTGCACTTCGTCCAGCTCCTCTACGACGGGCCCACAGAAGTTGATGGTGAAGTTGGCGCCATAGTCATAGCCCCTCGCATGCCAGCTGCCCTCGTTTGACGCCCTCGGCGCTTGATTTCGCCATTGTTCAGATTTCAGCTTCGTCCTCCCGCTCTTTCAATCCCTGTAGATGTCGCGAACTAGCAAACGCGTGTGAAAAAGGGGCTTGTCGCGTTCCGTGCCACAACAACAATCCCAGAATTGTCTGTTGGTTATCAACGCGCCGCCTGGTGCAATGACGGCGAGGGGCACAGTAAATTAAATAGTCGAGTCGGGAGCTGCTCACATCAGACGATGTTGAAGGGAGTCGGAAGCGTCCCAACCGGAATGACGCGCACATGGCAGTCTTGGCAGGGCTAGCCGGATGGGGATGCAGCCGCTGCGGGCCAGTATCACGACATGGGGCAATGGGGCGCGCGGCTCCGGAAGCCAACGTGTTGCGAAGGCAGAGAGTCGCTGCATTGCCGCCATCATCCCGTATCATTTGTCCCATTGCGCTGTGCGCAGACCATCACCCGCCATGATACACGTGCTCTACTCTCTCCTGCTCGTGGCAGCGTCGCTGTCGTTTGCGGCGGCCGCCTCGGACAAGCCACTCAAGCCATGTACCGTCATCTCGCCCACTACCGAGCGCTTCTTCGACCTGAATCCCATGCGGCGCCTGCCGCCCTCGGACACGGACGGCAAAAAGAACAGCAAGAAGGAGGGCGGAAGCCCGTCGAGCAGCCTCATGGCTACGAGTTTCTAGGACCGTAAGTAACATCTGCTTGTGAAGCCTGGCCATCTCACGCTAACCCAACCATCAGTCCAGGAGCCTTTGTCATCTCCTTTGGTCTCCCACTGTTGGTCTACGTCTTCACGTTTCTATGCAACGACATCTCTGGATGCCCCGCACCTGTGCTCCTCCACCCCCACAGCTTCAGCCTGGACCAGCTGAAGAAGGAGGTCGGATGGACCGGTTTCTCTGGGTTGCTCAACACCAAGGCTTTCCTCGGTACGCTGAGCTACTATTTCCTGAGCTTGGCCTTGTACCGTTTCCTCCCCGGTGAGGAGCACGAGGGCGTTGAACTCCGGTCTGGCGGAAGGCTCAAGTACAGGTTCAATGGTAAGTTCTGTGCGCATAAGCATGTCACGTGGCTAATGCACAGCAGCCTTTTACTCTGCCCTCTTCATCATGTCCCTTCTCGCCGCCGGCACCATCTCTCAAGGCGCGGAATTCCCTGTCTGGACTTTTATTCTCGAAAACCACGTCGGTATTCTCACCAGCAACATTCTCATCTCGTACCTCCTGGCCATTTACGTGTATGTTGCTTCGTTTAGCGTCAAGCACCCCAAGGACCCCTCCATGCGGGAGCTTGCAGCTGGCGGCCACACCGGTAACATGCTGTATGACTGGTTCATTGGACGCGAACTGAACCCGCGCATCACCCTGCCCATCTTTGGCGAAGTAGACATCAAGGCCTGGTGCGAACTTCGCCCCGGAATGCTCGGATGGATCATCATGGACCTTGCTTTCATTGTGCAGCAGTACCGCAACTTTGGCCGTGTCACCGACTCGATTATCCTCATCACCGTCGCACAGGCCGTCTACACCTTTGATGCCTTATACATGGAGCCCGCCATCCTCACTACCATTGATATTATTGCCGATGGTTTCGGCATGATGCTTTCTTTTGGCGACCTTGTCTGGGTTCCCTTCACCTACTCTCTCCAAACCCGCTATCTATCCGTCTACCCGGTCGAGCTCGGTTTGGCTGGTGTAGCTGGTGTGTTGGCCGTGCAGGGTATTGGCTACTACATGTTCCGCGCTGTCAACAACGAGAAGAACCGCTTCAGGACGAACCCCGAAGATCCTCGCGTCAAGCACCTCAAGTACATTGAGACCGAGGCTGGTTCCAAGCTCCTGGTGAGTGGCTGGTGGGGCATGGCCCGTCACATCAACTATCTTGGTGATTGGATCATGAGCTGGTCCTACGTCCTGCCCACCGCCATGTCCGGATACATGATCAAGAACGCCGCCCAAGACCCCATCACTGCCACCCAGACCGACGCCTACTTCTTCAAGGGCAGCTACGGAAAGTACGCTGCGCCTGGCGAGGCCAAGGGCTGGGGCATGATCTTCACCTACTTCTTCATGGTCTACTTTGCCATCCTGCTCATCCACCGCGAGCGCCGCGACGAGGAAAAGTGCAGGAAGAAGTACGGAAAGGACTGGGACCGCTACGTGGAGCTGGTTCCCTGGAGAATCGTCCCTGGCATCTACTAAAGGATCCACGAACCCCCAGGATGTAGCGCTACCCCACGACGCGGTTGAAGACGCACATCCTATTCCACCACCCATTATTTTCAAAAACTTATCTATTCTTAATGCTGCGGCGGACATTGGCGAGATGAAATGCTACCTTTCTGGCCTGGTTTTGAATCCACCCGAGGTTGAAGACATGCATCCATGTAACAATTCGAAAAATGGAAGGGGGGAAAGAGGACCGAAAAGAGAGAGGGATGGAATGCTACCGCAAGGCCCGGTTGAAGACATACATGCCCCGTGTAAGACGTAAGATGCAAAAAGAGGCGTTGAACGTGCGATGCTATCGCCACCATGCGATTGAAGACGTGCACGTGTTTGGACTGGAAGGAGAAAAACGAGCAAAGAAAAGAAAAAAAAGGGAATGTAGCGCTATTGCTTTTTTGCTAAGCAATCGAAGACGAACATGCCTTGTTCACATAATCTCTAGTCCCGATTTTCTCGCATTCGCATATATATGTATGCAGTTGCAGTTGCAGTTGTATGCCAACAAGCATAAACAGGTGACGTGAAGCAACAAGATATCACACATTACGCACTTTGATATCGTGAACAGTGATAGCTGAGCTGGACCCGCAGCACCCTTGAAGAATCTACAGAAAACAAAGCCCTCCCTCCATGCATGAAACCCATATATCTACCTCACAGCCCCACCCTTCCTATACGTCGCACTCCTCTCGTCCCACCCGTCTTCTCCCGCCCGCCGACTCGCACTATGATACTGATGCCGTTTTCTCGGTCCCGCATTGTTCGCTCCACCAGCATTACTCGTGTTGTCGTCGGACCCCCGCGCCTTTTCCTGCGCATACTTCCTGCCGCCATAGCCGCCGAGGACCAAGCCGGCGGCGGTCCCGAGCCCAGGGAATAGCACGTCGCCGATGAGGGTGCCGGCGCCGGCGCCCAGGAAGGTGTCGCGCGTCTTGTCGTGGTTGGGCTTGTCGTAGGAGCGGGATTTGCGTGGTTTGTGGCGGCGCGATGAGGATTCACGGTCGCGGTCGCGGTCACGGTCACGGTCGCTGGGGGACGACGAGTCGTATGTGCGGTCGTGGGGCCGCGAGTGGCTGCGGTGTGGGCGGTGCGGAGAGCTGTGGTGGTGGTGATGGCAGTGGTGGTGATGGTGATGGCGACTTTGGCGGCGAGGACGCGAGTAGTCGTCCGAGTCCGAGCCAGAGTCAGAGCACGAGGAGGCGGCGGGGATGGAGCCCAGATTGGTGCTGTGTTCGGATTCTTGGTCTGCAAAGCGGACGCGTGCGGGCTGCGAGTGGCTTCTATGATGCTGGGGTGGTACGCCTAGGTAGCCGCTTTGTTGGCGGTGCGGTTGCGGCATCGGTGTTGGATTGGGGTAGTAGCCTGCTGGTGGCGATTGAGGGTAGGGCGCTGCCATTGCTTGTGGATGGGGTGGTTTCTCTGGGTATTGTTGGTAAGGCGGGTAGCCGTAAGGTTGTTGTGATGGCGGTAGTGGTGATTGCGAATGAGCAGAGTACGATGGAGGCGGCGTATTCGTGTAAGGAGATTTCGAGTGATATGGGTTCGGCGGCTGGCTGGCGTGAAGTTCATGGACGCCTTGGGTGCCCATGTAGTAGTCGTGAGCTGCCATCTCTTTTCGTATCGTGCCAGTACTCTAGATTCTGTGGTTTCACTCGATGCTGTAGTGAAGGAATGTTTAGTCGCCACAGTGGGCATAACAAATGAACGGGAAAAGGCAATACAGGTCAAGTCTTGGAAGACCTTGGCTAAAAGATATGGACCAAGCAAAGCCCATAGGTCTCGTGCATCTGTCACAAGTCCATGATTAGTACGCCGGTTCTACGTCATTCTGATCCAGGGATCTGCTATGAATTTGCTTAGTAGTCATAGCATATTCGGAGAAGTCGGCCAGCCTCTCAGTGCGAGACTGGCGAGTTCCGATGATCAATGGAGAAATCCGGATGTTTTTCTGCTGCAGGCAAAAGACGTTTTGTTGACATGGCGAATCCCATAGACACGATTTGATTCAATAAACAAGTCCCATAGGTATGTGATTACGTACTGATGCTAATACTGTAAACCCCGTGTGTGCAAACTGAGGGATCTTTGAGGCTGTCATGGCGATAACGTCAGAAGCAAGTCCCGGCTCGGCCGAACGCCAAGAAATACGCAGGGCTCGCCGTCTCCAATCAGCGTCGTCGACAATGCTGCTGCGCAAAGAACAAAAGCTGGGCAGCATATCAGGATTTTGGCGCCACACCGGCTGTGACCAATGGTATGCCTGCCGAGGCTTCTGCGTCTTTAGCCTCGTCCTTGTAGTCCTTGGTCACGGGGACACCCTCGAATTTCTTAACTTGTTTGCCTTCCTGCCACGTGACGATGCCCGCTATACCCGATGCAATACAGGCCAGGGCGACAAACAGTCCCGTGGCCCATGATGGCCTGTTGATACGGTTGTAATGCCACATGTAGAAGCACAGGAGGACCTGAAGCAGCGTGTTCAAGACGTTGAACCAGACGACAAGATCCATGGTCCAGCTCCTGGTTGGCGGGGCACGGATGGCTGTTGGGGGCGGGTCCGGGATGGCTGTGACAGGGATGGGTACTGCAGGGTTTTTGGGATCGACGACGGTCGCGTCGGCATCATCTGGTAATTCATCGGAGCCAGGAAGTCGAAACCACCCTCGATGTATGCCCGCCAGCCGTCGAATGCCCGTTACTCTGCGCTTTGGACCGCTAATTCGCCACCATCCCCACCAGTATAGATCGCGAAACCGCCATGGCGCCAGACCGAAACCTGTAACGCAGAAGAGGGCGTTGAGGATTTGCGAATCAATCTCTATCCACTTTCGGCGTGGTGAGTTGATGTCATTGCAGTCGGGCTTGCACATGGCGGGCGCGGCGTTGCAGAGAAGGAGGAACAACATGCCGCCCCATGCGACAACATTGAGGCCGTATAATGTGATGAAGAAGCCCAAAGGGGTCAGGAACCACTTCCAGAAGCTCCTGAGGCCGATAGCAAAGGCCTGTGTCCACGGGAGTTTGGGGGGCGGGACGTAGCCGTTCGCATACTGACTATCGTTAGGACAATCACGACAAAGATTCACAGGGTTGACGTACATGTCCTGAAGATGTCCTCTTGGGGGTGTGTGGCCTGTCATGATGGATGGGCTCTGCTGCTTTTTCACCGCTTTGCTTCGGCTGCATGCCAGCCGCAGTGCTGTCATGCTGGCCGTCGTGCTGTGCTTCGTGATGCGCATCTTCTTCGGCCACGGCAGGGAAAGTTTCGCTGGCGAGTATGTTAATCGACGAAGTCTTGCGAGCCGCACCACGCGGGCGGTCCGTCTGCTCAGACGACGCTGTTGTTGTTGCAGCCGTAGAGCGCGACGCGCGAGAACCTGCTCGGCTACGCTGGGCATGCTCGTTCCAGCCATCGGATCCAAAAGAGCCAGTCCTGATGTCTTTAAGAGAGGGGGCCTTGGCTACGGCGTGACCCGTGGCTGCCCACATTCCCGGTGGCGGGCTCGCCTCCATCAGTCGTCCAGTCGCGGTGCGCAATCTATTCGACATGGCTGAGGCGCTGGTAGAGCTTCGCTTGCGGGTGGCAGGAGTCGATGCGTCTTCATTGTCGATGTCGTCGGGCTGTGGAAACGGCACGGGCGTGGGAACATTGCTGTAGTTGGAAGAGACCATTGTCGATGGGAACAGAGGCAGGTCGGCCAGGACGTGCGTGTATTTTGGTGGCAGTATTGGTTATGGCGCACAGCTCAATGGATGGGCCAAGGTACAATGGCGCGGTGCCTTGGCGATATCCTTGCTTTTGTTGGGCCGTTGCTCGGGGCCGGAATGCCTGGAGCAGAGCAAAAACTGGCGCAAAGAATGGCGTGAGAGTTTAGGACAAGCAACATGGCAGTGGAGGGTTAGGCTGATGTTGCGTGCGTGGACGTGATAGGGAGATGTGCAGGAGGCGGGCTAGACTGCCACTGCTGCGGTAGCGGCTTGCTTGTGCGAACCCCAGACCCACCTGGGCTGCGTTGTTGTTGCTTGCGCCACACGCCAAGGCGGTGCAAGTAGCCACTTCGCCACAATGCCACGACCACGACGCACGGGTGCCACGCTTTTGCTGTTGCATATCTACACGTCCCCATGCTGCTACCGCCATGGCCGGCGCTGAAACGTCAACGTCGTGAAATCGTATTCTGCGCTATATATTCATACTGGTATATACTGGCATCGTGCCGAGTGAAAAGACTAACAGGGCGCTCCCGCTGGAATGTCGGTCCGCCGGCAGCCAATCTATGCCAGAGCAGCCAGACGGACACGATGCACCCCCACCACATGAACCCTGAACCGCCCAACCCCGGGCTTATCATGATGCGTGCTCAGAGCAGGGCAAGGGCGCCAGCAACAACGGCCACAAGCGACATGCCCGGGGCCTTTGCATCGAGCGCCGCCGCGCTGCTCGTCACCTGCGGCGTTCCAGAGCGCGTCGGGGACCCTGTGCTCCTCAGGCCGCCCGAGGGCGTGCTGGGCGTGGGAGTCTGCGAGGCGCCAGAAGAGAGGGCAGTCTCACCTGCGGGGATGGACATGGCGCCTGTGACGGTCGACAGAAAAGAGTCGGTGATGACTGACACGACCGACTCGGACACGGGCGGCGGCAGGGGAAGGCCCATTGAGCCGCTAACGGAGCCTGTCCAGCTTAGTGCATGCTCTTCTGATAGGCGTGGGTGCTGTGGATGGGGACGCATACGTACATGAAGACGGGCACGGCGGCATCAGGCAGGCCTCGTAGCAGGCCCACGGGTCTTCGGCGGGCATGGACGTCTGGATGGTGAAGATGTCGACGCTGGACGGCGTAGGGCTGACAAAGGGCGAGGTTGCGACGACGACGGTGGTGGTGTCGCCCTGGGCCACGGCCGCGCTAGCCAGAAGCAGCAAGGCGGGGGCCGAGTGGGCGATGGATGCTCGTGCTCGCATGGTGATGATGGCGCTGGCGATGGCGATGGCGATGGCGATGGCGACGATGACAATGGTTGTGCAGACGAGAGTCGCGAATGCAATGCGGCCGCCGTGGTCTCGAGGAGCTGAGCAAAAGACACTGCCCGCCCGTCCGCCCGCCAGCTATAAGGTCGGTGTGCTGCCTGGGCTGGCGGGCGCGGGCGCGCCTGAGTGGTGGGGGAGACGACCAGAAATCTTCGCTCCTTCCGCAACCGCGTAGCTTCCCTTCACTCCAGCCCCGACGACCGCCTCGCACCGCCAATCGCCCCCGCCGCCGCCTCTGCGCCCAGCCGCCATCATGACGACGACTGCAGTCCCAGCCCAGGTGAAACATGCCTTCTGCCCGGCCCCGCTGCAGCTATACGTATCAGCGCCCTCCACGCCAGACGCGGCCTCTATCCACCTTCCCAATGAGATGACCCTCGCCCGCCAGATCCTGCACAACCTCGAGCACCAGCACCACTGGTCCGCCCTGTGCATTCACACGCACTCGCCCCTCACCCGCGACCCTCTGCCCCGGCCCCTCGTCTCCGGCCTGCCTCCCCAGCGCCTCTATGTCCAACCGGACGAGCAGGTCGAGCTGCTGAAAAAGGCCGACCGCGACCGCAAGGCCCAAGCTGCTGCCGGCACTGCTGCCTTGGACGTCAAGCCTGACCCCGAGCGCGAATGGATCCTGCCCACCAGGCTGAAGGAGCAGTGGACGTTGCGCCGTCTGGCCGGCGTGTTTGATGCCATCAGCCTGCTTCCCCCGCCTGCACAGGAGCCAGCGACCGACAGCGACGCCCCGGCCAGCCCCTGGCGGACGACCAAGCGCGTTGTGCTGGCGACAGTCGACACCGACAGCACTGTAGTATACTACATAGTGCACGATGGCGTAGTCAAGCCCCGACAGAACTGAGCGTCTGCGATCCGGACTCGCTCGCTCTACCCCGCCTCTCCATTGTCGCGCGGCCATTGCGCCGCTGTCCAAACACGCCGTGTGTAACCGTTTGGATATAGACAGATATCTATTGCTCAGCTACTGTCCGTCTGCCTGACATGCGCCAGCGCCCACCGTTGCTTCATGGAAGCTCACCCAGAACCGCGTCCCCCGCCTTGGGCATCTCATAGAACCGGGCCATGTCCACCTCCGTTTCTGGCGGCAGCTGATGCGCCTCTGCCCATCTCCGTACAGCATCATAGTCACGACACCGATGCTCCGTATTGAAATCAACAAACGGCATAGGATCTGGCTCGCTGTCGGGCTGCCACCATACCTGGCCCAGAACACCCACATCCGGGTTGCACCTGCGACGAAACTCGTTAGCCACCGTACGAGGGTTGAATAGCCCAAGACCCACATGAGGACCTGTCTGATGGTATCCAGGCAGTGCGTAGCATGCACCCGGACAATGTACTCGCTGTTCACGAATGCACCTTGCTTCTGTGCCAAGTAGTAGTCATAGTTCCAATGCAACGTCTTGCGAAGGAGATCCTTGTACAATTAGCATCGATTCAGAGCCAGCCTCTACCACTTACCAGACAATGCAGGTGATGCAAGCCCTCGACATTTGCTGGGAAACCACCGCCGTACTCTTGGCTAACCTTGACCTGGTCGTGACGCAGTCCTGTTCGTTCGGCTTCGGCTTCGGGTATTACCACACTTCGGTCTAGGGGAAATCAGCTCGAGTTGTATGCTATACCAACTGCACTCACAATTGATACCAAGCGCGTCCCATGCCGCATCGACTTCTGGTCCAGCTGGCTGTCGATAGATGTTTTGATGCAAGAAGCTTCCGTTGAACAATTGCGTGTGCCAGTTTGGCTTCACATCTCTGACGACGGGTGCTATGCACGTCAGTCGTGATGCTCAAATTCTCCATTCGTACTTACAGTATTGCGAGACATGATGAATGCAGAAATCATCAGGATTGGCTATCAGTGTCGCCTTGTTCACCTTGGAGGTTATCCACAACGTCGCGCCCACATATACAATGGTGCACAGAACAAGCGTTCTCACCGCAATCCGAACATCACGGCTTGAACGATCAGGGGGGCCAGGCTTAAGAGGGAGTGACGCTGACGAAGAAGAGCCTGGCAGCAGGGCCTCGCTGTCCTGGTTCTCAGAATCCCGTCGAGGTAGGCGATTGTGGTTGAGGCGGCTGCTGAACATGTTCGGCATGATTAAAGAGCATGGAATTGCTCCAAAGGCGAGTTAAAGATCAAGAAGCAAGTTGCCCTTCACAGCGGCGGCTCAGAGCCAAGGGGGTTCAAATGATTTCAGTCGCTCACTGTTTCCTGTCTGTACCCGAGTACAACCGATTGTACCAATGAATTCGTCTTACATTGCCAGCCGTGTAGGACAGGTGGTCACACCATGATAGCTGTCAAAGACATCAAACACGTTGATAAGCAGATACAAAGCGGCTTGATCACCCGGCAAGTGTTGTTTGGTATGAAGCAGTTGCACTCGCGCTAATGATACGAAAGGCACCTTGGACATGGCCCACGCTAGTGACATGATATGGCGCTACTGAACAACATGCATACATGTACCCAGCACTACAATAAGCGCTTAAATTTATTGGTTTGCAGTGCCATGATCTGCACAAGAGACTTGCATCAGGTCAGGAACACTATTGTATCAAGTACATTGCTGTCTGAACTAGCTCTAGTAGTACCGCCCCACCATCTGGCTTCTTTGTGGCAACAGCACATAGTTCACTCGCTCAGACGCACATGGTCGTACCAACCACGAAGTTCGCAAGACAGAACAGGATTTGAGTTTGCATACACACCAGGCACACCGCTCTGAGACTCTAGGTCGTGTTCTCTTAGAACCATGGGTCAGAGTGGCGATACAAGAACAGTTCTGAGCGACACGAGGTAACACGTACTGTATGTTCCCAAGTTTTGCTACATGTGATTCTTTGATCTGACTGCAGAATCAAGCAAACGCAGTACTGTGCTCAACGGGTGACACCAACGCAATGACTATTCTGTTGTTGGGTGAAGCATGTATACATAAGGGTGATTCCCAGCAGATACATGGACCATCTAGATATCTACCATCAGTATCTTTGAGCCACATCATTGCTTCCTCCTTCTGTACTTTGCACCATGCATTTCGCCCTCGTACTCGCAGGTCTCGCCGCCATTGCAGCGGCCGCTCCACTCGAAAAAGGCATCGACAGCCCGCTGAAGCGCTCGCCAGCCCAGCTCAAGGTCGAAAACTATGCAGACTACGGCATATACTACACCACGTACGGCACGTACTCTTCGGCCGAAGAAGCCAAAGCCACCATGATGGGTCTCGCCAAGCGCGGATACTCGTGCTACACATCCTACGACCCGTATCCGGCCGCCGTCGAGCCCGAAAAAGCGCAGACCATGCAGAAGCGCGGCTACGGAACCTACTCTCCCTACTGTGCGTACGGCGCCGCCGCCGAAGCCGAAGCCGCAAAAGTCGCTGCTGCAGCCGTCAAGCGCAACGACGACAACGCATACCCGACCTACGACCCTTACACCACATATGGCTGCTATCCCAAGGGCCTGGACGCCGACGCCGCGCAAGACGCGAAACGAGGCTACGCCTGCTACAAAACGTACAATCCGTATCCCGCGGCTGTCGACGCCGCCGCAGCTAACAAAGCTAAACGCCATGTCATGGCCCCGATGCTGGAAGCCAGTCACTCTGACGACGCAGATAGCAGTCAGAAGAGAGATGCAGATGACATGTCTGACGACAAGCATGTCGTGGACGCTGCTACAAACGTGAGATACGATCCGTACAAGTACGTTGTGTTTTTTTTTTCCTTTTCTAAATTCCTCTCCCAGTATATATCATGTATGTGTTATAGACACGGCAGTACTCGCCATTAGTAGTATATGTGTGTGTATGTGTGTGTGTGTGTGTGTGAAAGAAAAGATTCAGGGCTGACGATACAATGTGCAACACAGTACCTACGGAAATTACAGCCCGTATCCACGCGCCGTCGAAGCCGAAGCTGAGGCTTTGGGCTTGAAGAAACAGGAGTTGGAGTAATGCCTTGATTTTCTTTTCTTTTCTTTCCTTTCCTTGCCTTTCCCGCTTTTTTGTACTCGCGCTGTGCAGTGCAGTTCAGTGCAGTGGAGTGCAGCGTGGTGGTGCTACTTGTGTGCGGATAGAAGAGGATAAAGGCAAGGAAGGAAATGAAAGAAACAAAGAAGGTATGAAGGGAGGAAGGAAGGACGTGAATCAGACTGGAGATTTACCGAGTCTTTGTGTTTGAAAATGGAATGATATCGTGTGGTTACTGTACACCCCCTCTGAACTCTTGCTTGTTTTTTTTTCGATAAAAAATGCCACTCCTTTTCTCTTCTTTTTTTAAACTCTCCGCTTTTCCTTTCTTGCTTGTGCGCTTCTCTTGTCCGTGTGGTCCATGGACTCGAATGGGCTGAGTGCTGCAGTGCGAGGATGAGATGGGAACGATGGGAGTGGAAAGAAGTAGAAGAATATGCATGTCACTCTTTGAGTTGTGGATTTGGTGCACTTGATTGGACTTGGCTTGTTTTGCTGTTTGTCTGTTTTTCTCTCTCTTTCTGTATATATATATATATATATGTGTGTGCATGTATATATAACTATATATATATATATATGTGTGTGTGTGTAAGAGATAAACCAAAAGTATCCAACCCAGTAAAATGTTGCTTACTTACTTACCGAATATACCTGCTTACATATTTATCTACGAGATTCACAGCCGCCGCCGCCGCTAGTCTTCCTTTATCCAGCACACAGAAAATACGACCAAAACCTAAACTTAGAAATAGAAACAGAGCTCTATATTAATACGAGACCTTGGCTCCCTCCCCCTCTCTATGTGACCATATTATCCCATATCTTCCCCCCCTCCCCCCTCCTTTTCTTTTGTCACATCCCAAACATCAAACATTCTAAACGAATGTTGCAGCATCACACACTCATCTTCCCCCCAACAACGAGGACAAGCCACCCAGCACACATCTCACTCCTTTAATCTAACCCGCCTTCATATATATATATATATATATATATATAACATCCATGTGCTCCCATACATACTACGCGTACAAATAAGTCTGTTTTGCAGTGACTAAATATACCCGCAGCCAAGGTCCCCGTCTGACACGGACTATTTGCAGGGATACTTTGAGGGGGAAGGGGGGGTTAGGGTTAGGGTTAGACGAGTGTGTGTGTGTGGGGGGGGGAGGTGAATAACAAGGGTAATCCCTATCTTTTTGTTTTTTGAATCTGAATCTGAATCTGGGAAACGGGTGTAATAATAGCATTGCGTGGTGTGTTATAGCGAAATGTTTGTTTTTTCTGAATGTGCTTACATGGAAGGGCATTTGTCATGTTGGAGTTTGGAGTGTATGCTGGGATTGTTGTGTAGTCGATTGTTTGATCGTTTGTTTGTGGGATAGTGCGGGCAGTGAGTTTTTATACACACGAGCGCAACTAGGGGATTGCTTTTCTTTTTTGGCTTTTTGGGTAGGACTCAGGTGCATGGGGAGATATGGAGCTTGTGTAGTACAGATTGACTATTAATATGTGCAGACAAGGGATGTAGCGCTCTTGTCTATCCCCGCATATTGTACATGCTGCTTGTATATACATACAGTACACGTGCAGTTACAACAAGTGCGCTTGTAACGTGTAGCCGTTTCTTCTAGCCACCATGTTTCCTCTCCGCCCTCCCATACATTGCAGCCCGCATTTTTCCAACTCAGCGCCGAAAAATGCAAGCGTGTAGAGATTGTCGCATTTTCGGGGTCGGATAAATAACATTCATGGCGCTAGCGGTTAGCACCCCCCTGACTGTATTTGCAATCCGTGTCAGTCCATACACCTTTCACAGACGCATGCGCAGTGCAGGAAACGGGTAAAAAAAAGACAGGAGAAAAGAAGCAGGAGAAAAAGGGCGACTTACACAGCACTGAATGGCCGTGGATCCTGCGTTACAGGTGAGGTAACACGTGGGCGGGTTGTGATTGGACGGACAATCAAGAGTGTGTGAAAACCTTGTAGTAGCCCGGACACGTGATGCAGAATCCATATACGAGTACACTGGCGGGCTGTAGTGCGAGTGCGAGCACGGCGACAAGTACGGTGGAAGGCTTCTTCATGGTGAGAATGTAATGGCGAGTGTGCGATAGTGCGAGAAAAGGGGGCAAGGGGGGTATGTTGGGTGGTGTGTGGATTGGAGATGCAGAGAAGAAGAAGGACAGGAGAGAGAAAAAGAGACGGGGCATAATAACGAGAAGAAGGAGAAGATGTCTCACTATAAGGTTGTGTAGCTCATTAACGGATTGTCAGTGGCGCTGTGACGCGGTATAAGCACAGTAAGCAGTTTATTTAGTCAAGCAGAGCAAGAAGGGCTTGATTTCGGTGATGTGCCGCGGGCAGAACGAAACTTTCTCGCACTGGCGCTGGTATCTTGGCTTGTTGTGTGTGTGTGTGTGTGTGTGTGTGTGTGTGGATATGAGTACGTAGAAACAATGTATAAGGGGATCAGGAAAAAAAAAGAACAGCTACAAGGAGATATTTAGTGATGAGTGAGATGGTGTCTGTGTTATAGTATCGGCATGGGTGTTGCTAGTAGTTAGGAGAAGTGGCGATCCGAAGACGTCTAATTCATGTAGCTAAACGTGCACTAAGGAGAACTAACTGCTGCTTCCTTGTCCACGATAAATGCACCTACATATTAAAGCGTCATTATACAGAAAGACTTATACACTACTCGCATCATGAGCTACCGGATAAGACACAACAGTCCGAGAAACTGTGAGATGCAGGCCAATATTCCAGGGACCGTACATGGGGCCAATAATCTACGTACGTAGGATTGATTTACATTGTACATTTTCCATCCATGACTCGAGCTCAAGTTGCGGTACTACGTAGTTGTACAGGCCGAGAATACCATGTAGTCCCGACACTAGCCGAGAGATAGTCTTAAAGTATACACTATTTTAGCGTTTTCGCTCTACACATGTCCAATCAGAGGGAGTGGGATTGGCTAATTGTTCTACGACAGGCATTACTCGAATCAAGATAGGCTGGCAAATGACCAAGGATATGGGTGTCAAACCACCTCACGTGACGCTCGATCTACAGGGTAGTCGGCCCGCATGTTACACCATTTGGGCCTATATAACAGTCGCTATTGTTTTGGATGATTTGCATAATGTTGATGATCATAAAAGATAAGATAAGATACTATGGTGACCGCTTTGGGAGTTTACTGTGTATACTTGGCAGTGGTTGTGTTGCGTGTCCAAGCATGGCGCTAGGGGATACAAGATACCCTGTCCGAAATTAAGCACTGCAGACGTAAGCGCTAGAGATAGGGATATACATAGGGGTCGGCCTGGATCTTGTTCTGTTATCTGAACACAGTTGCTGCTTCAGATGAAAGAAGCGAGGCTGTAGAACATGGCCTCGAATCATGCCCTGAGTATGTTGAGATAGGCGAAGAATTGACCAGGCAAGGCTGCGACATGTGCCCAAGCCGTAGACCCAGGGTAGTCCCAACCAGACATGGACGCACACCGGATGGTGCTACTAGCCAAAACAACGCCTTGCTAGTGCTTATGCTCATCTGGGTCGGTGTGGCTGTGAGAACAAGTCAAAGAGATGGTATTTGAGATTGGGTGCCCTGTAATGAATCACAGGCCGGGAGGTTGTAAGGGAAAAAGGGTTGGTGTGGCGCTTTGGTGCAGCACTGACGCTGAGGTGGTTTGGGGTAACCTCGGCTATCACGTGATGTGCTAGCGTCGAGGATCGTCAGTGTTAGCGTCGACATACGAGAGGCTGTATCACGTGATGGGACTAGCCACTCGACCCGCAGATCACCACGTGTCTGGCGCGTGCATGTTTCCGGAATGTCTGGCCTGGCGGATTGGAAATGCTGCCAACTGGTGTCGCCGAGGAGAAGCAGTTGGGCTTGGGCGACATCACGCCACCAAAGGCCATGGAGTGTGACGGCGGCCCAAAGGGTGCAGTTTGTCGTGCCCGCCTTTGGCTCTGCGACAATGGGCCTGACGCGGCAAGCAGGCGGCGAGGAAGCATGCAGTCGAAATGAGGGAGCGAACAGCAGTTTGGCAGATTGCAAGGCAAAACATGGCGTGGCACAACGGGCGCCAGCTGTCGAATCGGAAAAAAAGAGCCGGTCGACTATATTACTTGTTCGTGTTTGGGCGCAGGCTCGCGTGGGTTTTGATGAGATTTGAGCAGGGAGTGGGTGGGTGGAGGGCGGAGGCGGCGGAGGCGGCGGGCTGCCCCGCAAACACGTCCTCAGCACCAGCGTGTCCGTGTCAGCGCGATGAGAGAGGGTCCCGCCCGTTCACTGATAAGAGGCCGGCCGAAGCGGACGAAGAAGGGCGAAGCAGGAAAAGAAAGAGGAGCACATGCATGTATATATGGCAGCACGGCCGTGTATAGCAGTCGGAGGGGGCTCTAGCGGCGGCCGGGAAGGACGGGTGTGGATGACGCTGCGATGGGCCTGCGATGTTGGACCCGCCTCGTGACAGGCCGTGGCGGGTTGCAACAGCAGCAGCAGCAGCAGCAGTGGCAGCAGGAGTACTGGACAGTAGTAGTGGTAGGCTAATGGGGGCGAGTAATGGCATGGCCCAAGGGTGGGTGGTGATCGGCGAGGCGGCGCAGGTGCAGGTGCAGGTTGCAGGCGCAGGCACAGGGGGGGGGCGCGGGTGAGGGCGAGGGCTGAGGGCGAGGGTGAGGGTGAGGGTGAGGGTGAGCGAGAGAGGCAGAGAGGGAGAGAGAGGCGGCAGGGTTGCTTGGTGAGGGCTGAGTAATCAGCGCCGGGCCCATGTGGGGAAGCCCACGCCCACGCCCACGCCCACGCCCACGCCCACGCCCGCAGCAACCGGCCGCCCGCTGCCCTTCTGGTGGCTTTTTTTTCCTTTTGCCTCTGCAGTCTGCGCGCTTCCTTCGGCCAAGACGCGGCCAGACAAGCACAAGCGCCCGCAGCCCGCCCAACTACATGTAAGTGTAAGTAGTATTACTAGGGATGCGCTTGACCGGCCGCCCGTCTAATCGGACCTCGACAGGAAATGGCCTGTTTTTCCTCGCCAGCGCGTGCGCATCCTCATGGGCCACACGGGAGCGCATGGGGCCCCAATGCTGGCCGCGAGACGCTCCCACTCCCAGCGACAGCCACCCCCCCCCTGCGCCCTCAGCCTGCAATCGTCGCCGTGGGCATTACACGCGTCGCCGTCACGGCGGCCCTCAGTCGACTCGATCGGGCGCGCTGTCGCCTCGCTTCATGGCGGATCATGGCCTCCTCTGGCCGCTGACGTTGAGGCTGCTGGTCCCCACATGCACACAGCCTGCGCCGCCGCCTGGATATACAAGCTAGCGCCGCCCCCCCACTGGCCTGCGAGCACAGAGGGCTGCCATTCATATCCTGCTGCTGGTGGACAAGTCGGACCTCTCCCATTTCCATACACCACTACCGACTGCCACCACTACTCCACACGCACTGCATACATACCGCCTGCACCCCTACATACCCGCTGCACACACGCTCGCAGACGGCCGCCTCCCTCCGACGCTCCGACTCTCGCCTGCGATCGTGACCTCGACGCCACGACGCCCTGCTCGGGTCTGGCCTGCCACGGTGCTTTGGCCCCGACAATGTGCACGCCCTTGTGATCTGTTACCTTTCATGCTCGCCTCAAGTTTGGAACCCTAATGTAACATTGCCTCGGCATTGCGCCACACGCCCAAAGGGCACATCCCGCACGCTCTGTCGAGACGACCACCATGGCCGACAACACTGCCGCCGCCCATCAGCCCTTCGCCCACGACGACTCTCTCATGCTGTCCGACTACGGCCTGTCCGAATTTCGCGCCTCGCCAAACACGGGCGCTGCCAGCCCGGCCAACATGATGACCTCGCTGGCCGACTATGACATGCCCTTTGCCCACGCCCAGCACTTTGGCTCCGGCCTTGATGGCCTCCAGCCCAAAATTGAGCCTGGCTATCCCAACCACCGGGGCAGCGTCGGCAACATGAGCGAGGGCAGCAGTGTCCATCCCACCCGCATGAGCATCGCGGGCAGCCCTGGTCACGATGGCAACAACACCAGCCCCGAGAGCGCACATACCTTTGGCATGCTTTCCATGGGAGACGCAATGAATGACTCCTCGTCGCTCGCCGTGGGCGCCACAGACACCTCGACCACATCCAAACGCACAAAAGACGACGTGCAGGACCCGCCCCTCTGGAGCGAGATGAAGACAAAGGCCGGCAAGGAGAGAAAGAGGCTGCCGCTGGCCTGCATCGCCTGCCGCAGGAAAAAGATTCGCTGCTCTGGCGAAAAGCCCGCCTGCAAGCACTGCCTGCGGAGTAGGATACCCTGTGTTTACAAAGTCACAACAAGAAAGGCTGCCCCCAGGACCGACTACATGGCCATGTTGGACAAGAGGCTGCGGCGCATGGAAGATCGCGTCATCAAGCTGATACCCAAAGAAAGCTTACCCTCGGTTGCCAACGTGGGCAGATCAGTCGTTAAGCCCGCTATTGCCGGCGCCCCGCCCAAAACACCCACCAACAAAAAACGCCCCGCAGAAGAGGCCTTTGGCAACGAATTGGACGAGTGGTCAAAGGCAAAGGGTGCAGACCCGAATACCAGTGATTCCACAACCCTCCACAAGGAATCAGACGACACCAAACTCCTCTCAGAGGGCGCCGAGAGCCTGCCGCCAAAAGAGATCCAGGAGCACTTAGCCGAGGTCTACTTTGACTATGTCTACGGTCAAAGCTACCCCCTTCTTCACAAGCCCAGTTTCATGAGAAAGCTCGCCATGGGCAAGGTTCCGCCCGTACTAATCCTCGCAATGTGTGCCATTTCAGCCCGCTTCTCCAATCACCCCCAGCTACGCACCGAGCCATGTTTTCTGCGAGGCGATAACTGGGCCATACGCGCACGTGAAATTGCACTGAAACGATACGACGCCCCCAATATCACCATCCTCATTGTCTACCTATTACTCGGGCTGCACGAGTTTGGCACATGTCAGGGCGGACGCAGTTGGATGTTTGGCGGCATGGCCCAAAGAATGGCCTACGCACTGCAACTGCACAAGGAGAACGAATATGACCCGCTTGCCAGTGAAGCAGATAGGAAACCCCTCAGTGCTACAGACAGAGAAATACGGCGGCGGACCATGTGGTCCTGCTTCTTGATGGATCGATTCAACTCTTCTGGCTCCGACCGACCGCTTTTCGTACACGAACAATACATCGAAGTGCAATTACCAGTCAAGGAACACCTATACATCCATGAGATACATGCGCCAACAGAAAATCTAGAAGGTGGTGTGCCAAACCCTGTCCCGCCGGACAGTGGCCAACTGGCAAATCCCCACGAGAACATGGGCGTCTCGGCATACACCATCAGACTGGTCTGCACATGGGGCAAGGTAATCAAGTACATGAATCTAGGGGGCCGAGAACGCGAAACCGAGCCAATGTGGTCGCCCAACTCGACATTCCATGCCATCAAGAAAGAGGCAAAGGAATTCAAAGCGGCTTTGCCCGAGATGCTTGTGTACACGCCGGAAAACCTCAAGAGCCATGCCATTGGCAAAACCGCAAACTCGTTCCTCTACCTTCACATATTATGGCAGCAAATTATGCTCTTCATGCATCGCTTTGCATTGCCTTCTACCGCGGGAAGTAGACCACCCAAGGACATGCCACATGACTTTCTCACAGAATCAGCCCGCGCTGCCCTCGACGCCGCCAACCAAATCTCATTGCTCATTAACGAATCCATGGACCATAATGTTGTTGCCCCATTCGCCGGATACTCGGCCTTTTTCTCCTCTACTGTACATGTTCACGGCGTCTTTTCCAAAAACCCAAAGCTGGAGGCGCAGTCCAAAAAGCACTTGGCTTACAATGTCAAGTTTCTCACAAAGATGAAGAAGTACTGGGGCATGTTCCACTACATTGCAGAGAACTTGAAAGAACTGTATCGACAACATGCCGACGCGCAGGTCAAGGGTGCCTCCACCAGTGCTGATAAGAAGGGTGCCATCTTCCAGTATGGAGATTGGTTCGACAGATATCCGCACGGTGTCTCCAAAACAGACTATGAGGATGCGGCCGAGGCCAACCCTCGTGAGCCAGGCACCGATGCGGTTCTGGGCGACAAGAGCGACCTGCAGAGCGTCGAGGAATTCTTTGCCTCGTTGTCGCCGCCGTCAAAAACTGACCAGTCACGCAAGCAAGCCCGCAAAAACCGATCCAAGTCGGTTTCCAGAGCCGAGCTCGTATCGAGTCGAGCCGACGTGGCGCGATTGCAACGACACAATAGTCAATCGCAGCAAAGCTCGGCTGCGCACCTGCAGGCACAGCAGCACATGAATCAAGTCAACATGCCCTCTCAAGACGTCATTGAAGCCGCCCTCGCCGCGGGCTACGACCCCACCAGTCTCTTCACCTCACAACATCAATCATCGCCCCAGCAGTTCCTCGCAGACTTTGCATCACACCACCCATCTCTGCCCATTCTCAACACATCACCCAACATGATCCACCCTTCGCATGCCCACCAAATGGATCCCTCGGTCCACTCGGCCAACCTCTCACCTTTCCCTGATCTCGCCGCCGACTTTAACAACGCCTACTGGAACCTCGATGTTCTGGGCCTTGGCCCCACCAGCAACTTCTTTGACCCCATGAGCAGCTATTTTGTGCCCTTTAACGTGGATCCCCCACCACAGCACAATCTCGGTGACGACGGCGTCTTCGCCGGCCAGGGACCAGAAGCATATGGCTTTGCGCTTGGTGCGGGGACTCCCGTAGATCTCGATCTCATGCATGGTGGTATGGTGCGAAATTCGGGCAGTGTCAATGGCGGAAGACCTGTTATGGGTAGGCGGGGTACAGGGACAGGCTTGGATTGATTTGATTGATTGATTGACTGAGATTTCGTTCGGTGAAAATTAACCCTCTTGTATCTTCATCTTCATATTCTTCATTTTCCCAAGTGTATTGTATTTCGTGTTTTTTTTGTTTGCACGCGTCTTTCGTTCCGCTGCGAAGACGTGAGTTTTTTTTTCTTTTTTTTTCTGTATAGCGATAGCGAGTGCGAAGAGGGGGTGAGTGAACCTTTATAGATACCAATGAACGATTACAGTGTCGAATTCTCCAAGTACGTAGGGCACTTTATCATCTTATCTTGGTTTAATTCTACTTTTATCGTTCGTTTTGCCTATCTTTCTTGTTGGCTGCGTTCCAAGCGCTGGTGGGCGCCCCCCCCCTCTGATGTGGTGGGGTTGTCCTTTTCCTACTTTTTGGGGGAATATGTGGGGCTTTGGGGCAGGGAGGCGGGGTGGATGTAAAGAGGAAAAAATCATATAGTAGCGGTGTATGTACATGTACTAGTTATATGTTATATATAACGTGGTTCATAAGCGAGCGGACACCCCAAGCGAGCGGACACCTCCCCACCAGCGCGTCAACTTCAACACGTTATCACAGCCTTTTATCACAGTCAATAAACTATTGCAATATACTAAATTAATTATCAGAATCGCTT